ATCTTAGCGACTCGTACCCGCTCTCTCCCGTGACGTCACGCGCTCCCCCGACCCCCCACCCTCTCGCCCCGCTTTCCCCCCGGCCACGCTTCCCGTCTCGCCCTACGTATTCCCCCTGCTCTCCCACCGGCCCGCACTTCCCCCCGCGGTCATCTGTCTATCTCTTTCTATTCATATCTCTGTCCTCCTCTCTCTCACGGACTGTCTCTCTCGCACTCATGGGAAAAATGGGCTAGAACCGCCCTTACTATCCTACTCATTTTTTTGACGTTTTTCAGGGCCGTGTACAGCCACTTGTTACCTTACTTGTTCCAGTCTGCACTTATTTTGCGCACAATCACCGATTCTAAATAAGTGAGAGGAAGAGCCAATATTAGAATAAAAAAATGTTAATGAGTGCTAATAAGTGTTAATTGTAAGATTATGGTGCATTGCCAGACCTTTGAGATACTTCCCGTATTTCTGTCATGCTGCAATTCGTTCCATTTTGAGCATTTATATATAGTCACTTATATATAGTCACTTCCGTCCGCTTGCTTAGCACCAAATGCTCTCTTCTGTGATTCTTTCCTCATTGGGCATAAGTGTGGTCTTGGATCGTCTTAAGATTTCATTCAACTAATAAAATAACCGCATAGCATCTTAAAATCGTACTTGAGATGATCTTAAATATAAGAACGGACTATGAATACCGGCCATAAATCTCCTTTGAGGAATAAGGACTTCTTATTGGCTAAACCGCGTTTTATAGACCTTTCTTGATCAAACAAGAAGCCTTATTGGCTTCCTTATCTCAAGAAAGGTCCCGAGCTTCCATCTACATGAAGCTAGCTGGCAGAAATTATTAAATATGATTATTTTTAACTTTTCTGAGTGTATTTCGTTTGTAAATCGTTTGTGATTGATTGTGAGTCGGTTTTTAACATTTGTGACAAATTAAGTTTTTTGTAATTAACAATTTTAGTTTAGTCATGATGTCAGCCGATACTTTTTAGTAATAAACAGATTTTATGATAACTGATAACTGTAATCGACAGGAAATTGTTTGTGATTTATAAATATATCAATGTAACGTTTGTGAATTAATAAACTTTTTAATTACGTGCAAAATAAGTTTATTTTATCCCTTGTTTCGGAGGGACTTATCCACTGGTCTCTGCGGCTTCCCTAAGCAGCACGGGAGGTAGAACTCTGCGTAGATCATCTACAAAGGGCTCAAGTGGGCAATTATGAAAAGAACTGCCCAGTGAGAACGGTTCGCTCCAACAAGAAAGTCTCTTGGTGGGGACCGGAACTGCAGAAGCTCAGGGAGGGGGCTTGGCGTGCCTGGAACAGAGCCAGGGACACGGGTCGGGGTGATTACGATAATTACGGCCCCCTATTTGAAAGGTTGTTTCTGAAGACATTTTTCACGAGGAATACGGGAAAATAGTAAAAAATATTCCGACCAATAGTTTTTGAGATATATCACTTTAAAGTATTGGACATGATAATAAAACTTTATAAAAACGGACCCAACGATGTTGACCTTGACATATGTTATCAAGATCATGATCTTGAGTAACTTTTCCTTATAACTTAATCGGCGGTCTCTTATAATTTTTAAGATATTTAAAGTTAAAGTTTAATTCGAAACAAAAATTTGGTTTGGGTTATATAACGTAACCCAAACGAAATTTTAGTTTTAAATCAGAAATAGGTTTGGGTTAGGTTATATCTTTCGGAAGAGGAGCCCTCCCGTAGGGGGGCAGAACCCACTGCATCCACGCATATACTTTACAACGCGAAGCGAGGTCCACTCCACAATTACTAATAGTAAGAGCAATAAGAATTTTGTGTTTATGTTCAAAAAACGTAAACAACACAAGACATTGGTAGTACATACGATTCTAAGCTACACATGGAAGATACTCGCGACAGTGATCTTCACAACATATGTCAAGGTCAAGGTCATTGGGTCCGTTTTGTAACGTTTTATTATCATGTCCAATACTTTAAAGTGATATATCTCGAAAACTATCGGTCGGAAAATTTTTTTACTATTTTTCTCGTGTTTCTCTTCAAAAATGCTTTCAGAAACGACCTTTCAAATAGGGGGCCGTAGTTATCGTAATCGTGCCCACAGGTCACCCGTTCGACTGTATCTCTATCGGAGGTCCCAGAAAACCTATAGAGACTCTGTAGTACCCGCCAAGAGAGAGAGAGAGAGCTGGAGGAAATTCTGCGAATCCATGGAGGAGGTTCCGGAGGCCTCCAGACTCTGCAGAATACTGGCAAGAAAGCCGGACTCTGTAACGGGCCGCTTTCGCGAGTTCGGATATGCTCGGTCGGGATCAGGGCTCGTGAAAGGGTTGAAACACGACGATAGACGCATGATTTAAATTATCTGTTTATTTGCCTTCTTGATTAAGTCCGGCGAAGCGGGTGCGCGGCGGATGTTATTGCGCGAGATATATTTAAAGCGCGATAGTTGTTCGGCACGTATTTTACAATGTGTACGTGCGGATAATTCCGCGAGTATTATATAAGGCGTAAGATATAATAATCAGGCACGGTGGTTATTTGGCGCGTGCGGTGTCCAGTATACGTACGGCGAGGCCGTGTTTGTTGTGACGGCATAAGAGATGAAAGAAATGGGGCGGCGGTTAGTCGGCGCGCGTACGGCAAGGCCGGGTTTATTTTGACGGGTTCAAAATATATAATAAACGGCGCGACAGGTATTTGGCGCGGTGATTGATTTGAACGGATGGCAAAACCATGTTTTAATTATGCGTCGAGGTGTTGCGGACGCGTCGCGTATTCCCAGCTGTTCGGGGATGCGGCAGAAAATCGGGTACTCCCGATCGGGCGGAGAACTCTCCGTCCCTATTCCGTACGCGGATCTAAGGATGGCCGGCGGAGTCGAGAAAACTTGACGGGCAGCGAACTCGCTAACCCGCGGTCTGTCTGGCCGGAGCAGTCGGATGCAATGATGCCAGAATTGAGACGCGAGCAACACGACTCCGTTCTGGTGGGGATACACACACAAGCGTAAACCGTGTACGTGTAATGCGCAGAGCGCTCTGCGTGTGTATCCCCACCAGTACGGAATCGTGTTGCTCGCGTCTTAATTCTGGCATCAGTGGTCGGATGTTAGACCGTAAATCTAAGAGAGCGGTGAACCCTCTCGTTGAATCAATTGGAAGATCGGTAAGAATTCGTAGGTGGAGCGTAAACCGAAAATGCTCGGCGGAGGCTGTGAACTCGTCAACCCCTCGTTCCGTCGTTCTGCGAGTATAAGGATTGATTTGTCGGAGTATCTCGAGTGTACTGCTCGAGAGACTTCAGGTACCGGTTTGGTACCAAGATGTAATTCGGCGGTCTTTTTATAACGAGAGAATAACGGGAACCGCGTCGTTTCCCTATGGTAAAGATAACGACGCGTTGTTTTCGGCGGCAATAATTAACGGTTAACGCGCCATTACCTTCCGGCGAGAAAACGACGCGGCGATTCGGTGGTTCAGCGCTCGGTGTTTTCCAGTAGTGCTCGGCGGTTCTTGGTATCGGTACGGGTCGTAACGGCAGTATAACGGTTGTACGGTAATCTTAAATGCTATCTCACAATGAGTATTAAAAAAGGGCTAAGCACCTCTGCCTCTACCCGGCTGATGTTCGCTGGGCGGCAGACTTCCTGCGAATCAACTGTCGGGTAACGATGGAGGATGCATAGTTACAACTCAAACCTGCAGGCAATATGCTTTTCAGATGGGGACCTGGTTTCGGGAGAGCGATGTCTGGTTCATCTCCTGGAGACCAATTTTCCGGGCTTCAGGAGGGAATCTGATGTCGACTCGGACGGGTGGGCTGCGGAGCTCAGGTTAAGGGCACGTGGTTGCGATTGGGAACTGGCGGTTAGCACTGTCAAGCCTGAGGGTGGAATGGGCCGTCAAATCCTTTAAGCCATTCAAGTCCGCTGGACCGGATGAGATTTTCCCGGCGCTCCTACAAGAGAGACTCGGGTAGGTCAGCGGGCCGCTTACGTGGACGCTGAGAGCATGTCTTACTTTGGGTTATCAGCCCAAAGCCTAAAGGCTGGCAAGGGTGGTATTTATACCTAAAGTCGACAGAACGTGCTGCACCTCTGCCAAGGATTTCAAACCGATCAGCCTGACATTTTTTCTTCTGAAAACGTTGGAAGAGCTG